TAAGTTAAAAATTTTAAAAAGCTATTGAATAATATCACCTCTCTGTGCTTGTGTTAAATTTTCACATCGGCAGCTGAGTCATGCGATGCATTTTTGCAAATCGAAAACCGGTTACCGGCGAAAAGAAATTTATACGGGCGGCTGTAGCCTATAAAGCTTTAAGTTTATAGTTATGCAGTTTCAGATTCTGTTTTTTTTTCGCCAGTCAGCACAGAAACTTGTTTGGCCCTGCCGTCACGGTCTGGCAAACCGTACGTCTGCTATATACCCATATAGTTGTGCAATTTTGCGGCCAAATGCCAATGAACGGAGGACTGTACCGCTTGCCAAGTGCATTGAATTTGGGGGAAAAAAAGGGGGCTCGATGTTTGCGGGGATGCAGTTTAAGGTCGGCCGTTCGTTGGCTCTTAGAAAGTGCTGTGTAGCGTGTTCCTATATCGATTTCGATAAGATATTGGCCCGTGTTAATGCCTTGCTAACTAAATGATAGATAAGGGGCGACAAAACGAACTTTCAGTTAGCACTTCGCTGGCTTCTTTCTTTCGTTTATTGCTTTATTCTCCACTTCTTGAACTTGCCCACAACCGGTGGCTATAAATAAGAAAAAGTTCTTACTTGGCCATAAAACACTCATTTTCGCGGTCAATGCCAACCAATTGCATAATCGCTGATAGGAATTTTATCTACAATTTCGGGCAATTAAACGAGTAATGCTGGCCCAGCAGAAATCAGGGCAACGCAATCCCAAGTCGGCAATTATATAATAGGTTTTAGAGCCACTGGGAATTTCCGATCGAATTTACCGGGCCAAATTTAGTTCGGGTTGATATAATGCCGGCTGCTAAAAATACAACCCCGCCAAAGCAAATAAGCAAAACAAAAGCACAAGCACACATCGGGGATAGGGTGGCTATATAGGTAGGCCATAGGTACCTCAAATACCTCAGCCGAAAATTCCAAAGGCATATTCTATACGTAAACAGCTGACAAATTTATGGGGTTCCTTGTATATAGGCTTTGTGTATCACACAGTTTGTTATATTCAGCAAACAAATCGCGCAAATTTGTTGTACAAATTGTTTGCCCCCGGTGTTTTTTTTTTTTTTTTTTTTCATTCTTCTCCACTGGCACGTTGCTGTTAATTATTCAATTGAGATCCATTAAAGCGCTCGACTGAATAAGAACGGAAAAGGCAGAGTCGGAAAAAATCGAGCCAGAAGCCCGCCCGATTAACTTGTCACAAAGCTGGAAAAGTCGCGTTTACCGCAGTCTAGATAGTTAACTGGGTAACGCTTCCATTTTCCCCGGCTAAACAAAAGGCTGCATGTTGCATAATCAAAACTGGGCTGGGTTCTTTGGCTAGACAGGAAATGGAATCGCACACGTAAATCATTCAAAGGGTAGAAGGAGCGAATCCGAATCTCCCAGAGTGCCAGCCAATCAATTTCGAATAACACCAAGCCGATTTGCCTCGCAATTCATTTAGCCAGTAAATAAACAAATATTTGGAATAGCTTAAATTTCAGCAAAACGTAAACAAATCGAACGATTCAAGTTCTTTCGTGGATAAAGCTGTTCTAATATTTCCGACGCTACTGTTGATGAATGAATTAGAGCATTTAAGTTCTTAGCTCAGGAACTTATGAAGGACTTTTGGGTGGTAAAAGTTTTCTGTTTAAAATATATCCTTGCGTTATGGGAAGCTTTATTCCAAAACGTATTTACTTTTGATTGTTTTCTACATCAGTGATACATACACGAAGTAAAAACTTGATGACTTATTGTAGAATGTAGTGTAAATGTTTCCTATCGTCCATGTAGAAAACGCCAGATGGCGCTCAAACTTTTGTAGAACATAAGGGAATTAAAAAAGAGAACATTTACTTAAATATTAAAATTAAATATTTTCTTTAATTTTTTTTCTATATAAATGAATGTGTGCAATTTAGTTTTTAAATTCCCTGAATTTTACGGTGAATCACACTTCTTCACATCTTTCCAATTTCTCATAATATATGCATCCTACTTATAACCCTTTGCATCTTCTGAACCTTAATGAAGTCTCGCCTGATTTCGCTGATTGTCTTCCCAGACAGCAGAAATTTAAATCAACGACATCCGGCTAGTGCCAGCAGCAATTTTTTTTCGCCACTAGCTGGTGTGCAAAAAGATATTTTTCATCATCTTCAGCAGTTTACATCTACCCATCGCATATATGCTTATATTTCACTGCATGCTGTCTAATTGAGTGTGAGCCGCTTTGACGTTTTGCCAAAAGAATTTTAATTAAATTAGGACCGCTAGAGAACGAAAAAAAGAGAGTCAAGAGGAGAATCTGGTCAGTAAATGCGGGTGACCAGCAGCAATCCTAATAACACTCAACTACCCTTAACTCACCCCTGATAACTAGACCCCTATAGGGCCAAATATTTATTAATAAGAGCTTTATGTCGAATTCATGTCACAGCCAGCAGTATTATTGGCAGAATGCTGCTGGCCGGAATTATTGTTTGGGAAGAGCGGGCTGCCATGTCCATGTCCAGATTCAATTAGTGTCGAAATGAGTGTGCGAATGAATGAATATTGGGGGGGCCATACTCATTTGGCTGGGTGGTTATTATCAGTTATGCTTGCGTTTTGGGCCCAATCTTTCCATTCCCCTTATCAAACGACGTTGACCAGTTTCGGAGTGACTGCCCGCCGCTCCCAATTTCCCGTTGCAGTCGCTCACGTCGCTGTCGGCCAATTTCCCGAAAATACATTTCGAATTATTTTCGTACACTTGCCAATTTCTTTGTGCAATCGACTGGCCAAAATCGCAATTAACCAAGGCAACTATTGCAGCGATTTCTCGGGTGAACGACCAGACCGTTGGCCATAAACTTACCCATTGCACTGGCCGTTTAGTGTTCGCTTTGCCAATTTCCCCAGATCCGATTGCACTTTGTAGTGCCAGAGCCTTGTCTTTCGGCCAGTTATACGATGGCCAAACAAGCAGCTGTAGTTAGAAGAGCTGACTTGTTTGCTATCTTATCGCCATCTTCCTGCCTTAGAACTGATCATCTCGGCTGACAGCCGAGACTTTTTACGATCTGAAGTTGAAAGCTTATCAGCTGGGAGCTTATCTACCTTCCCAGCTCTTCTGGCCAACAAATAATCGCGACTCTCTGGACTCTCAGCTGCTCTCTTTCTCCAGCTCCAGTTTTGCGGCAGGTGAATTGGTGTATGCCTACTGGCCGTCGCTGATTTTCGACAGCCATTCGCGAATTGTTGCTAAGCCTTAACGGTTGCAGAAAATCCGTGCGTGATATTGTTATAAATCGGAGGCTCTAAGTAGCCCAAATCGAATTAAACCGAAATTGGTTGGCGCGTGTGTGACTAGAGAATAGAGTCACCCCGAAAAAACGCTAGAGCTGCTCTGCCTGCTGATCCCGTCTCGGGAATTATCCTGTTTTTGCTCTCACCTCCCCCTGAAATCCTTGTTTGTCCGCTGCTCATCAAGAGGGTTACATAATGAAATCGGACTTTTCAATTGTGCGTCAGCTTAATTTGATTTGTGCACGGCTTCTTAGCAGGGGGGTTTTTCCTCCTGCTTGTCATGTTTTTGTGCTCCAGTTTCTATCGGGTCGGCACTTGAGTTAATTGATTAGTTTCAACGCTTTCCAGACAGGCCACTAAGTCATTAGTTTTATCTGCCATGATTCGGAGCCACTTAAAACTCGAAAGTTGGCAACCAACGCCCCCGATGGCGGGTACATTGCAATTCGCAAAGTCCACTATCTTTACGAGGCATTAACAGGCCTCAGATTACTCATGTGGAGTGGCAATACGCGGTGTCGATTGAAACGGCTCATATGACTCCGAAATGAGGTAGAAATTTCCACAGCGAATCAATAAACACTTGCTGTTTGCTTTGGTTACCAGTTAAAATGGCAAATTGTTTCCAATTCCAATTCGCAATCAATATTTACAGAGCCGAAAGCCAAATGGCGTTGGAAAATGGCAAAAGGAAAAGTAAATGATCGACTGCGATTACTCACCCTCCGCTGAGTAATTGAAGCTGCAAATGAAATTAGCCAAAACAAAACAAAAGATTGCGAGTTGCGAATGTAATGAAATTTTTTCATGGCTTAATGTGCATTAGACATGCGATGATGAGAAACTGGAACCAGTTCCCTGCACTTTTCGCACTCAAGTTCAATTCAACCCGCAATGGGTTAATTCCCAAGCCTCAAGTGCCCGTGTCCTTGTCCTGGGAACCCTGCAAGCTGCCTTTGATTTCCATTTGCCGAGTAATTGATTTTTTTTTTTACACACACTTAGGCAAGGAAAACAGGGGAGGGAGGGAGGTTAAGGAGTGGAAGGTACCCGGGTACCCGTGTACCCGATTCCTGTCATTACCAGAGCACATTTCACACTCCAGGCCGACACTTGAAGTTGACTTGACCGCCCGGGCTGCGAAGGCTCAACAATTCCCAGCTGCCAGTCGCGTGCTATAAACTTTATCGATTCGGAAGGGGATGGAGAGAGGGGTATTGCTTTACGGGGTTTTGGGTGGTTGGTGCGTCCGTACGTCCGTACGTCCGTTTGTCCATCCAGCGCATCGTGTAAATATATCCTTCCGCATTATGTTGCCGCTCATCCGGCAACAGTTTGGGCCGGCGCCTGCGGGTAGGCAATGCTGCTTCTGCCGCTTCAACCCTCCAACCGCCCAACCCTCCGTCCTCCGACCCTCCCTTTTCCGGCAAATATATTCGTGCACTCCATATAGTACACTCCGATTGAGAGCGAAACTCCGGGTAAAACTCTCCCGGCTGAGTGCGCTGAATGCGGCTCAATGCCGGCCGTAAAGTGCGGGCTCATGGGTGCGACTTCTCTCAGTTCCGTTCGATTTGCCGATTGCTGCGGCTTGTTCCTCTTCGTCCTTTTGCCGATTGAGCTCAGCGCGCGCTAAAACATCCTGCAGAGCAGAGCAGCTCCGGTAGTAGTCAGCCAGCCGAGCAGCAGTCAGCAAGTCCTTTGCTCCCCCTAAAAATAGCATCGCGTAGTGTTTGTTTAGTGTAGTATACATTTGGGCGCGGCAGCAGCGAAAAACCAACCAGAGTGTCGCAGGAGTCTCTCGATAAAGGAAGAAAATATATACAACATTGTTGCGTCCGATATTTTGATACCAACGAAGACGAGCACGACCACCAAATAGAAAAGCTATACAAAATAATATACGCTGAAACGAGAATCAATCAATCCAATCACCGAAAATCAAAAGCAATAGCGTTAAGCGTGTCTGTGTGTGTGTGTGTTCAAAGAGGGATCCCCTACCAAAAAGAAAAAAAAAAGAAAATAAGAGATCCTTGAGGAGCTAAAGCTGCATTGTGATTTCATTTTACCTGCAAAAACGCAACCAAACAAACGAAGATTGGCTCTTTTATACGCCGACTTTGTGACCAAGCCAACGCCAAATTTTTAAACGTTTTTTGAAAACTTTACACGGAACCCTTCTTCTACAACAAACCAAAAACAAAACCACACGCAAAATGGGTCTCTGCGCCTCCAAGGACAAAAAGGAGAAGGTGATCGAGGGCGAGGTGGCCAATGGTGAGCCCAATGGCACCGCCACTTCAGCCGCCGCTGGAGAAGATGGGTGTGTATCCCGGGCATTCTGTCAGTCTATCGGCGGGCCTAGGTCTCCTAGACAGGAGTTGTCTCTATATCCTGCTGGTCGGGTGGCCGATTGAGGCGGGGAGTGGGCGTGCGAGGTGGTCTGACGTCATGTGTGCGTGTGTGTTGGTGCGTAAGCTGCTCTGTCTGCAGAGCGCCCAAATATAAAGTGCCATAAAAAAATTATTATTGCCCTGGTCCTTTCGTTTTGTCCAGGACTTTGGCTGGGTCGCCATGTTGTTGTAGTGCGCATGTCCTTCAACGGGATGAAGAGAGAGGGGGGAGAGGGAGGTAGGGTGTATAGTGTGCCGTCGATTTGCGTATTCAGCGGCAGCCGGCAAAATTTTATAGTCAGTCAGCCACCACCAAAAGCAGGACACAAACGAGAAACCACCACTAAAAACGGGGCGTTGTGGGATCGGGATCAGGGGTGATGGGTGTTTGGGAGTTCCCAGGGGGGAAGTGGGGTGGGATGGAGTGGGTATGTGTGTGGCAGTCGCGTGTCAGAGGAAAGTCGTCGGGCATGAGCACATGGCCATAACCCGAAACTAATTGCGGGGCAAACAGGCCGGAATTGAGGAAAACAGAAACAAGAAAACATGTTGCCGACTTTTGGGCGCCACAAAACGAAGATAGCTATAAAAACTTTGAACTACCGCCCCAGCCACGCCCTTTTACTAATGGTCAACCCCACTTTTCGTTCTCTCTCTTTCTCTTTCTTGCTTTCCATCGCTCTCTGCAGCAAACAAGACACCATGGTTGATGCCGCTGTTCTCGCTAAACTGGAGGAGGGTTACGCCAAGCTGGCTGCCTCCGACTCCAAGTCGCTGTTGAAGAAGTACCTGACCAAGGAGGTCTTCGACAACCTGAAGAACAAGGTGACGCCCACCTTCAAGTCGACCCTGCTGGATGTGATCCAGTCCGGCCTGGAGAACCACGACTCCGGCGTTGGCATCTACGCTCCCGATGCCGAGGCCTACACAGTGTTCGCCGACCTGTTCGACCCCATCATCGAGGACTACCATGGTGGCTTCAAGAAGACCGACAAGCACCCGGCCTCCACGTTCGGCGATGTGTCGACCTTCGGCAACGTTGACCCCACCAACGAGTACGTGATCTCGACTCGCGTCCGTTGCGGTCGCTCCATGCAGGGCTACCCCTTCAACCCCTGCCTGACCGAGGCCCAGTACAAGGAGATGGAGGGCAAGGTGAGCAGCACCCTGTCCGGACTGGAGGGCGAGCTGAAGGGCAAGTTCTACCCGCTGACCGGCATGGAGAAGGCCGTCCAGCAGCAGCTGATCGACGATCACTTCCTGTTCAAGGAGGGCGATCGCTTCTTGCAGGCCGCCAACGCCTGCCGCTTCTGGCCCAGCGGCCGTGGCATCTACCACAACGATGCCAAGACCTTCCTGGTCTGGTGCAACGAGGAGGACCATCTCCGCATCATCTCCATGCAGCAGGGCGGTGATCTGGGCCAGATCTACAAGCGTCTGGTGACCGCCGTCAACGAGATCGAGAAGCGTGTGCCCTTCAGCCACGACGATCGTCTCGGCTTCCTGACCTTCTGCCCCACCAACCTGGGCACCACCATCCGTGCCTCCGTGCACATCAAGGTGCCCAAGCTGGCCTCCAACAAGGCCAAGCTGGAGGAGGTCGCCGCCAAGTACAACCTGCAGGTGCGCGGCACCCGCGGCGAGCACACCGAGGCCGAGGGCGGTGTCTACGACATCTCCAACAAGCGTCGCATGGGTCTGACCGAGTTCGAGGCCGTCAAGGAGATGTACGACGGCATCACCGAGCTGATCAAGCTCGAGAAGAGCCTGTAAGCTGCACGCCAACCGCAAAGCATCGTCCCTCCGCTTGGATAAGCCTCCCCAGGATCTAACATCTTTCCCTGGAGGATGACCATGTCAGGGCACACGCAACAATCAACAACAAAAACAACAACAACAAAAACAAAAAACAGAAGAGCAACACTTAGTAATCTTCGGCTCGTCCGCCTTGTCGCTTTTGGGCGGTTCGGGCTGTAAAACAACAAGTCTAGTTTGTAGCGAGGGTGCGGATAGTTGCTGACCGAAACCCGGCGACCTTCGGCATTTCGTATACTTTGAGGGTTGCGGGCCACCGTGGCAGCAATCCCATCTTGCAACACCAACAACAACAACACCCACTGCAGAAGCAACGCAACAGCAACGGATAACTATTTGAGAAAAAAAAACATTTGCTTAATTACAACCAAACAATGTAAAACATTTTGACATCTGTGTCAAGCAAAAACAAAAAAAGGAACTTTAAATACTTTTATTTTAAGTCTTAAGTTTATAAAAGAATTAAAATTATTAAAAAATAATAAAAAAAAAAAATAAAAACCCAATAAGTTTAGTTTTTCGAAATGATTTAAAAGGTTTAGTTTCTTATTGTTAACCAACAAATTTTGTCTCAGCTTAAAACTTAATTATCGCTCCAAAAGAGTTTAATTAACATGACTTTGCCTTTTTCTCGGCTTCTATGAGACCCTTGATCCCGGTGTGCATTTCCTTGATGATTTCGTACTCGGTGAGTCCCAACCTTCGCTGATTGGATATATCGTGCACTCCATCCTTGGCCTCCGAATGCTCTCCGGAGGTTCCTCTGATCTGCAGACGGTACCGCTCAGACAGCTCTTTAAGCTCCTCCGGATCGTTCATGAGCTTAGGCAGCTTAATGTGAACCGAGGCGCGAATGGAGGTGCCCAAATTGGTGGGACAGAAGGTAAGGAATCCCAGCCGTTCATCCCTGTTGAACTGGAGTTGCTTGCCGAGGGCCTCAACGCCGCCAACCATGCGATCGTAGACCTTGCCCAGATCGCCGCCCTTCTCCATCGAGATGATGCGAATGTGATCCTCCTCGTTGACCCAAACCACGAAATTCTTGGCATCATTGAGGTAGATGCCTCGACCAATGGGCCAAAAACGAGAAGCTCCGGCGGCTTCCAAGAAACGATCCCCCTCCTTGAACAGAAGGTGGTCATCGATGAGCTTCTGCTGGCTGCACTTATCCATTGTGGAAAGTGACTCGTAGCAACCTTTGTATTCCCCTTTAAGATTCTTCAGTGCCGCACAGATCTCGCTCTGCAGTTTATTGTAATCCTCTTCCGTTAGGCAGGGATTGAAGGGAAATCCTTTGAGGGCTCTACCACAGCGCACCCGCGTGGATACAATGAAGTTTCCATCGGGATCGAGGTTTTCAAAGTCCTTTCCCTTGCCAAAAGCAGTCTCCGGTTGTTTGTCCGTCTTCCGGAAGCACTTGTGGTAATCCTCGATGACGGGATCAAAGAGATCGGCGAACACCTTGTAGGCCTCCGGGTCTGGAGCATACAAGCCGACTCCAGAATCGTGGTTGCACAGTCCCGAACTGATGCAGTGCATCAAAGTGGAGTTGTAGGATGGCGTAGTCTGCGTCTTCAGCTTATCGAAGATCTCCTTGGTGAGATGTCTCCTCAGCAGGGATTTGGACTTGGAGTCGGCCAGCTTCTGGAAGTCGTCTTCCATTTGCTTCAGGAGATTCTTATCGACCTTTTTGCTGGCATGGCGAAAGGTGGCTAGAATCCAGCTGGTCAGAAATTTGAATTTTGGCCGGGTTTTTGAATTTAACAGCATTTTTGAAGTGTTTAGTGTCGAGTGTAGGTAACCAGGGTGACTATTGTCGAACTATTCCCTATATACCAAAGGTTTAAGAAAATGTACTAAAGGAAACCAAAAACATGTATTAAGCATCCAATAAAATTTGGTTAGTGGGTAGAAAACTTTGATTTAATTAATGTCTTTGTTTGGATAAATGTATGATACCGTGTATGTAAAAAACTGAAACCATATTATATAAATTTGTTTTAAAATTGATAAGCTACTTTGCTTAAATTCGTATATTTATTAAGTATGTTGATAAACTAAAGCAATGTGTTTTTCAGTCCCAGCACATTTCCAAAAGTACAATTTGTTGTTGAGTGTAATAATTTATCACAGTTTCAAACATCTGTAAGATTTACATACAATTCAGTGAGCTGTGTAGAAGTATTGTAGTCGTGTTGATTGCTGTGTAGAAAGTACGTTACTGTAAAGTAAAGTAAGTAATAAAGTAAATAAGGTAAGAGGCATATTAAGAAACGTGTTAAACCATATTTCTACAGCAAAGTTTTATAGAAAATAAAAATATATATAAATATTTCATACTTTAAAACATTTATTGCAATTAAAGCTCTTAATCTAATCTAAATCTCTGGAAATACTACATGTTAAAGGAACTTTCTATTAAAGGTAAGATAACTTTTTGAGCTGCTTGTCTGCCCAATAATTCTCAAGTTAAATTAATTTAGTAAAATTCAATTAAGGGCCTTCAATCAAGCTTAAAATATTAAAGCAAAGGTGTGTTAAATATTAAAACTATTAACTAGCCACCTCGACCTGTTCTTGTTCGCACAATTTAATTAAATGTTTGCAAGCCGTTGGCTCGTAAAACAGAGAATGCCAACATTTTTATAGCTTAAAGCTTAAATACCAAATCAAATATATTATAATTAGCAATAAAGAACAACAAAAGCTGGTGCGGCGACAACAACAACACGCTAACATGTGGCGCAAATAAAATTCAGATTTGAACGGCAACACCTTCTCAATAAAGCATCGTTATCCTCATTATCATTATCAACAGCTTTGACCGCAAACCGGATTTGAATTTTTTGGCATGGGTATTGGTATGGGCCAACCTACACATAAAAATTCATTAAGTATATTAAAACAAGCGCAAATTAGAAATGCAATACGTGAGCGAAGCCCATTTGCATTTTTATCTCATAATCTACAAATTTTGACGCTTTTTGCCACCGTTTTTTCGAAAAGAAGCCAGCCAGCAAATCAGCAAAAATAAACCTAGCATTTAAAAAACACTTCTAAAGCACAGACGCCGACAACATTTGATGTTTTTCTGGCCTCTTTTGTTTTTGGTGAAAACGTGCAAATCCCATAATTTAATTGTTTCAGCATTTCGGATGTAAATTTATTCGCCACCAAATCCAATCGAAGATGGGGAGAAACACAAAGCGCTAATACAAAACTAAGCCCAAATTAGTCAAAGCAGCTTGAGTCGCGGTTTCGTGTGGCCAGTGAATTATTTCGCGCTGATTCGGATTACATATGCATAATCTATGCAAAGGTTTCTATGAATGGAACTCAGATCGCCTCGATTTGCCTTTGAACTGACCGCCTTCGAAGAGAGTAGGTCGTCTTCTTGGTCGTCTGGCTAGATCTTGGGGCTCCATTTTCTAGATGCACTTAAAAACTTAATTAAAAATATTAAACACGAAATGTTTGGCGCCACCGTTTAGGAAGCGCTCAAAAGTGGACCGCACACATCCACGGCCGCTGAGTTATCAGCTCAATTATGCAAGCTGAAAGGCAGCCGCCGGCCCACAGACAGATTTGTCGCATTTGACACGATAATGCACACAAGGAGTGACCACACCAAAGTCTCTCCACCGGCATTTCCATCGGCATTGGCATCGGCATCGGCATCGTACTCGACTCGGAATCGGAATCGGTTTCTTGGCCAGCTCCCACTTCGTTTTGGCCCGGCCAATGGCCATAAAAGGTGCGATAAAACGAAAATTTCACAAGACGGCAGCCGCAACACCTGCACTAAAACAAATTGTTGGCAGATCAGCAATGCATTTTTTTTAAAAATATTTTCAGCTTCATGTATAAATTGTATGTCAAATATATCCCATTTTCCAATGCTCGGCAACATTAACTATTTTTAACCAATTAAAGAGGCATATCTCTAAACATTTGTTATAAAATTGTTTAACAATGCACGTTTAAATTTATTATTTTGATTTTTTCTACTTTTCCGATGGCTTGGTTAGTGTGATTCAAAACTTCACTTTCAGTAAATACAACTTTATTAAGTTTTAACATCAACAAAGTTGCAAATGAAAACAGAAATTTATTACTATTTTTATTTCAATTTTTTTTATTAGATATTTCTAATATGAAGGTCATGTAAATCCTTACTTAACAGTAGAAAGCGAATCAACACACATTAAGTTTTCTGTGTAGCCACCTCTGCGTCATAGGCTCTTTCGGAGGACGAGGATGGAGTCGCTGGGGAGTTGGGTCGGCAAAGACCAAACGGCCTGAAAGCCGTCAAATCGCTGCTCATAATGGACGCCTTATCTTTCGAGAATTGCTTTAACTACTACCGGAGTTGGATGCTTTCCAGATACGTGTGGCTCGAGAACCGACTGGTCACCATAATGGAGAGCATTAATTTGTCTTAGGCCCGCCGAAGCGGTCGCCAAACAACTTTTGGTCCAGGCTCCATAACCCCGCAAAAACCTGTAAAAACGGAAACGCTGAAGGTTGTCCCCCCGCACAAATAACTTTGCATTTTCTACGGTTTGGATGTCTATTTTGTTTATTTGACCAAAGACACTTAAAACGAATTAACAAAGTATATGATTGCAGCTTGGATCTTAAACGATCTTAGTAGTAGTACAGAGTAACTTATGAAGTATATGCACACGTTTCTCACTAATCACAACAGAAGATGACTTCAACTTAAACAGTTTTTCGATAGGATGTTTTAGTAAGCCAAAATAGCTGAAATGCTGAAGCTATTTCGCTTGGTAGAGGTTGAAGGTCGTGGTGATGTTGTGGGTGTGCTGGAGGTAACCGGTTGCGAGGCCACAGGACTCACAGGAGCAGAAGTTGGCACATAGGTTGAGGGATGCATTGGCAGAATCTGGGGAGCAACTCCTCCAAAATAGGCAGCCGCCAAGCTGGGCGGCAATCCTGGAGCTCCACTGGGTCCGTAACTCAAAGGATGTCGGTGATACGGGGACAAAGAAGGGGCAGCTGGATGAGCTCCATAATAAGCTGGTGATACGCTGCCTGTGGAGTCCTGCTCGAAGTCCTGGCGCTGTCGCTTTGCCTGCGGAGAGTCGCAGCTGCTCACACTGGAGCCATCGTCTTCCGATTCCAAGCTGGAGTTTCCACTGCTGTTCAGCTTCCTCTTGCAGCGGGACTGACCCGACTCGCGGAATCCCTTGGCGAAGGGATTGTTGTCGATCTTCAGTTTGGTAATGCGATCGTTCTGCAAGAATAAGAAAACAAATTAGTAAAAGAAGAGTAATAATGAATTATTGGTTCCAGGATTAAAGTCTAACCAAATATTTGAAAGGTAAAATTTCTATACTTTTTACAAACAAAATAAGAGTTACTTTTATTATATTTTAAAGAAATATCCTATCTTATTTAATTTTGTCAAGGTCTTAAAGTGTTGGCAATTTTTCGGTAAGGTTCAATTTAAAATTTGTTAAATGGTAAACTGATCTCTATTTTTTCTGTCTGCCAGACATTCAATCTTCGAGGCGTCAGTAAGTAGCCGTCGGCTGGGAAGCACTTGAAAAGTTCCACTGTGATCCTCGTCAGGATCATCTCAATCTCAAGTGGCAGGCGAGGCGACAAATTTGGAAATGCCTCAATTAGCCGACGACTCCCGCAGAGCCTTTGTCCCGCTTGGGACTCTGAATGGAAGGATGTTGTCGTTGAACCCACCTGATAGGCCGTGACAGCAACGAACTCCGTCTCCGGGAAAACGAACGCCTGCTGAGGAGCCCAGGGAAGCTGGGTGAGCTCGCTGCTGCGGATGATGTGCAGGCGTGGCTGGTACTTATGCATGCTGGCCAAAACAATCTGGAATGAAGAGTAATGATGCCTATAAGTAATCTATTTAGGGAATTCAGAAGGAATTTCCAAACTTACATGTCCGCTGCTGTCCAGCGTGTTGTTGGTCAGCTTGACCTTGTTGAAGAGCAGAGCCTGCGATTGCCAGTGGGCTCCTGTGGCCGGACTATCCGGATGCAGATACATTCGCTGGGGACTCTGGGGCTCGGCTCCGCCGGCCGGAACCCACTGCGATCCGGAGAACTTGTAGCGGCAGTCGCCGATGGGCACCATCTCGAGGAGGACGCAGTAGCTGGCCTCCTCCTCCAGTCCACTGAGAGAAACGCGCATCGAGGGGAACATGCGTCTGCAAGGAGGCGAAAAAGAATAGGACTTGATTAAGTGGCCTGCCACGAACTGCATATAAATCAAGGCAAAAGGAGGCGTCGCCGGGCATCTATCCTATTCTACTCTCTTGCCACATTGATTTGTGGCCACGGCTAACAAGTGTGTAATTATGGACCGAAAAGCGGGCAGCGGGGAGTCTGCATCGCAACGCATCGCATCGCATAGCATCGATTTAAAACGTAACGCAAACAAAACAATGTGCCACCGCCAGATGATTAATTGTGCGGCAAATCGGAGGATCGCTCCGAGAGCGGGGGAAATCTGGCGCCAAGCAATTAGACAAAATCTGGGAGTCGCCCTAACGGCTTCCAAGCGTCGAATGCATGTCTAATGAGGCGAGAAAGTGACTGCGATCGCGTATTAAAGCACACGGAAAATGTTAAGTGTAGGGGAACATATAATAAAATGTCTTAAAATGTTTTTATTGAGTAGAAAACAATTTTTTTAATTTTTTGGAATATTTTGTGTGCTTTAAAGCTTTGAAAAACAACTATTAGCAAACAAGAACTGTTCAAAGCGAATTTTTTTTATATATTTAAAAAAGAGATATTTATCTTTGAACTAAATAATTTTTGTAAATTGTAATTTCTTGTAAAGATATGACTTTTAATATATGTACAAGCATTTGCTGGCCCGTAAACTTTCTAATTTTTTCCCCGTGTACTTTGACAAGCTAAACTTCGAGCTCAGCTCATAATTATGTAAATTTGTCTCGGCTCCCGCTCGGTAGTCGCTGTTCGATAGTTCCCCTATCCGAGATATGAGCTCTGTCTGTAGGGTCTGATCGCCCCGGAGAAGGGTCACCCGACAGTTCGGGGCATTGTGGGCAAAGTGTGAAAAGCGCAGGTAGATCGGACCAAGCCCGATTGTCAACGCCGACAACCAACAACCGACAATCGACAACCGAGAACCGAAAGAAGAAAGATTTTTATGAGCGGTCCGGCGCCAGGGCGGCGTCTTCCTCTCGTCTTCTCCTCCTGCACTTGTTGTCACTCCGAGCGAGAAACTCCTGCTGCGTTTTGAATTATGGCCAGGCGCCACATTAGGCCCGGGAAAATCGAAAGGTACTCGGAACGGTTCAGGGATCGCGACTGGGATGGGAAAACTAGACCCTAAGACAGGAGCAAATATTTACATAGGCCGTGCGACGCACTTGACTCTTTGGAAAACGCGGGCAAACTATTGGCATAGGATAATGGGTTCGGGGAAACTCACCGGCCGCTCTTTGTGATGATCATCTCGGTGCCGATTTTATGGAACTGCTGCCACAGATCGTTGTTCTCCAACTTGGCCTCCACACCCGGCAAGGTGGGTCGGCTGGGCAGCATCATCTGCGGCGGCTGGTGGGGCATGTTGAACGGCAGCATCGATGGGAAGGGATCTGGAAGAAGCGGTTTGGTTGGTTCATTAGTTTCGCATGGGCTTTAGGGAGGTGGCTCCCGAAGAGAATCGTATTCCTGGGCTATTCAAATCATACTTGATAGGATCTGGCATTCCTAGAATTTTATTGTAAGTAAGTATCAAATGAAAGAAGCTCTTGCTTGAGCTTAATTTTAACTAATGGGTAATAAATATTTAAAAATGATATTAAATTAAATTTAACAATATAACAAAAGTTACAGAATCTTCGAAATTAGTTGGATAAGAAAAAAACAATCTCTAAAAGTCTTTAATACATAACTTAAAGAACACTGTTTAATGAAAACCATTTTTAATTTACATCAAACTTTTTATTCAATATTGAGAATAAGTATCCACAAAAATAGTATCAATTGTGATAAAACCAATACTCTCCCAAAAATTATCTCTCAATTGTATAACTTTTTTTATTAATCCTAAAACAAAACTTTAATGGAGAATAGGGAATGTAGTTCACTGATATTTTTGAACCCCTTTTACTAGTATTAAATTCCTATTTTGTAGCTCTAAAAAATCATAACGTATTTTGCCGACGGCACACGATCACCAGCCATTAACCTTATAGATAAAAACCCACCTGGAATCCGCTGCATGATCTGCTGGCGATAGATTTCGTGGGCCAGCTGCTGCTGCATCCGCATATCCATAAGCTCTTGCATGGAAAGCATTTTTGGTCACTTGCACGGGAGTCAAACACTTGGTAAAAACTATGGGTTCTGATATAATAACCGATTTGGTAGTCTGATCACTTCTTCACTCGCTCGTAAACTGAAGATGCGCTCTGAGGTTCTTTCACGCTCGACGTTTCGCAACGAACTGATCTCGAGTTGCTCCGCTCGAGTGCTAACTCGCTTTGGGTCGCAGCCAGTTTTTCCCGATCGGAGCTACCTGCTAAGTGGAAAACCGGTTCTCCGGAGCATCGAATGTGATTGGCCGACTGGCGACGCCTACGCTATGGCACTAGGTTTGTCCCGCTCTGGCGGAGATCGGTGGATCGCCATTTTGCGATCGGAGGGAGCGGGAAAATCGAGCTGCGTAGAAGACGAGTGGCGAAGTTAACGCTTAGCCCTGTTGATTTTCATCAGCCGCAGTGTTTTTCTGCGCCACTGCCTCCTCGCCTTTATTCCTGTCTCCCTCTCGATCACTGTCAGATGTACGTATATATATATATACAGCGGATTGTGGATATGGCGTTGCCTGTAATTCAGAAGTGAGATTTTCCACAGCGCGCCTGTCTGCTGTCTTCAGCTGCCTTTTCTTCTGGTTTTTTTCTTCTTTTTGGTGTGTGTTAGTTTTGTTTTTTTTTTTTTTGGCGCTGTCGGAAAATGTCCATTGCCATTTCCATTGCAGCCGTCTTCCGTTTGGGCCTGTATCTCGTTCCCTTTTACCTTCCCCCGTGTAATTAGCCGGGGTTCCTATCTTCAACATTTGTCTGCCGTTTCTTGGGTATTTATGTACTTTGGCTGCAGACAGGTGAAACATAAATTTTGTTGGCTTTGTTAATTGCCCGTTTTGGAATTTCGATATGCCCTCGCTATTGATTTGCCACTCGATGCGTTGAACTAACCCAAAAAAAAAAAAAAAAAAAAAAATAAAGAAGGAGAACCTTAAGTTGCCCATAGTTTTTGGGTCTGGCTCGAGGGCCTATTGATTAGTGCTTGTCAGCATTGGAAATTGCTGACTTGAGTGCCTGCGGTGGAGGTGGATTTAAATTCACATTCCAACGCCCAAAGGAAGTATTTTAATTGCCATTTAATGAGCTATTGATCATTAAGAATGCATAGTAATGAGTCATACTTTTCCGTTGTCTTAATTATCTAAGTGTTTCGAGAAATCTTCTTAATATTAACGTTCTCTGTTATCTTTATGGGCATATAATCTCAAAGAATTCAATTTAAATTAAAATCCTTTTTTTGGGAGGTCCCCATTTAACAAGTTTAAATTGAAGACAACCATGGAAAAAATTAGAATGACTCAAAAACGTTAGGTATTATAAAAAATTTCAGTTTTTAAAAACTATTTAAAGAAGTTTTTAATTATAATATAATTATAAGTGAGTTCAATAATTGTAATTCACTTTAATTATAATATAAAAATAATCCAAGTTATGTATAACAATTTAATTCATTGCTAAATTTTTTTGTTTTGAAACTCGTGGTTATTATTTTTAGGCATAAAAGTTAGCTCTTTTTTTGACATTGATCTTGAAACCAATTTGTGTCTCAAGTGCATCCCAGCAGACATGATCTGACTAACGAAAAGAACAATCTAGAGCCAGACATGCATTTATTTATCTTACTCTTCGCCTGCAAAATAATTTCAGGCTTGAGTTCACCTCCAGTCGACTAGAAAGAAAGTCAGTGTCGAAGAGGAGCCTTCATTAAATTAGCATTTCGCTGTCGTTTGGCACGTTCTTCTAAATACTGTCGCATTATGTCTCCGGATCTTCGGACGAGACGGCATATCGCCGGTTCCCAGCCAGCTGATGAGGTTGATGATGACTTCTCGGCGCCAGAGAATCGTAAAATATTTTTATACAAATATCGTAGCAGTTGGAACAAAAGATTGGATTCGGAATTGTAACGCTTCACGCCTGCCCAAAAACACCGACAAAGAGATGTCACACAAAAAGGCCGGTAGTCGCAGCTGGGGATGCAAGTAGATGTCTTCTCAGATATTAAACTAACCCCTGGATAACTCAGGTGTAATTGCGTCATGCGGGTGCAGGGTAAACTAGATCGAAGTAACCATAATCGAGACAGAGACACATAAGTTGACGCGACATCGGCACAGCCCACAAAACGACCGCGCTCCTTGGAGAGTCCTTCGAGGACTCTGAGGATTCCCAGGACAGGTCGTTTTGCGGTGTGTCCTCGCTGGGTGTGAAGTGTCCCGTGGGCGGCATCCTCAGTTGCTTGAGATGTTGCCCTCGAAGGAGAAGTACTGAAGTACCTGAGTCGTCGTCTGTCGCCAATTGAAGTAATAATTTTCTATTGTCCTTGCGAGGCGCCTTCCTCAAAGCAAGGACTTCAGACGCGACAAGTGACTGAGTTTGGTTCGCTCTCAAGTATTTCTTGGCGCCAGACAAACGAAGTTCCCGGGTCCAGAGGACATTTCCCTTTTGAGTCCGCTATCTGCCGCCCTGGATCTGCAGATGCTGAACGGTAGCCGGTCAAACTGCCAGCGAGGTTGACAACGACATATGTTCGCTGGGAGTCGGATAAGATTGGACCAATGTAGATTACCCCCGAGGGTCTGGGCTTCCATATACCGGTGGACGGAAGCTCCCGTCCAACCCACACAATCGGCGGTAATTAACATATAACCCCGCGATCGAAATGACCAGCCATATTCATATATTAAAAGACCATCAGCTTATAAATGCCCATAATCAATGGGGGACGAGTAACATATCCCCCCGGTTCGACAGATCAATAAATCATGGACAACCGTAATTAACCAGCTCGCAGGCATCGAAACCCGTGTGTCACCTGCCCCGAAGAAGATCTCGGCGATCGTGAGCTGCCAAAACTACAAGTTACACATAATTTAACCAAGACAAAGGCTGCACGGCGGAGAGGCAAATGTCATAAAATAATATAAATGATATAAACGACACTGTCTGCGCCTAATAAGCATGGGGCGTGGCCCAAAACCGATACCAATCCAGAGCCCAGAGCCGAGAGTCCAAATCCTGGGAAAACATCATGGGCATAAAGATGCAAGCTACGCGATAAAGTTAGCTGCTTAGGCGCCTGCAACTAAATGCTAAACGAGTTAACCCGCTGATAGAGATCTCCTTCTCTGTTTTTTTTACCCCAGCTTCTTTTTTCCTGGGTTTTTTTGGTAGATACTAAGCCGCTGCTCAAGGTGCGTCGAGAACATCATTAAGGCAGGAGGGAGCACTAAGAAAAAAGCGGTAGTGATTTCATAAAAATATTACAGGTGCTTCGTATGTTCCACAATCTAAAAATCACATATGAATAGTAAAGATAAAAATATGAAAAGTAAAGATAAACATAATAAATTGGTATCCAATTATTGTTTTTAAATAATCCATATATTTGGTTTTTTTTATAAAAGGAAGAAATATAATAATTAAAAGAAAAATGAATTACATTATGATAACAACTTATGTTTCTTATGTTTTTAATCTTCCTCATTTATTGCTTATTATTCGAATTGTTTCAATATTTAATTAGAATAAGATAACAAAAGCAAATGAATTACATTATGATAACAACTAGTTCAACTTCTTATGTTTATAATCCTTCTCAATTAACTATGAATTGAATACTTACGTTTGATAAACTTATTTTATAACTATTTATATATTTTCTTAAATAATCATTTGTTACATTTCCTAATCCATTTTTTTCCCAGTGCATAAGTACATAACTCCGAGACTTGAGACCACAAGCAACGATGATTTAATTTTCCAACACGCTTTCTACCACGCCAGCATATATCGCATATAGCATCATGCAGCATCTTTGGATCCGATGTTTCGGGTTTGGCCGTTTGGTTACTTATTTTTGAGGCATTTCTGGGATGATCGATGGCCTGTCGTTGAGATGATCACTTTCTGCGGCTGCCTAGCGGCTACTAGTTGAGATACTTAACGACGACCCGAGAGGGCGCCATCGGGCCTTATAATTTGTTAAGACGTTTGGGCGATCGACCGATCGATCGATCGATAGATCGTTGGATGGATTGATTGACCCTTTCTCTGCATAATATTTATATGTACGAGTATATTTCTCACGGCGAGAGCTGGATGCCTAGATGCCTTGTGGCGCCCGCAAGTGATTTGGGGGACAGGCTTCTTTTCGGGCTACCGACCATCGGTGGCGGTCATCTGGAGTGGAGACGCCATCATCGCCTTATCAGCGACTCGGCATCTGGGAGCATTAAGTAGCTACTTAAGATACAGCTTGCCGGCGGAGGTATCAGTTCCGCCATATCGATTACGGGCTAACAAAAAGCCGAGGGCAATTGACCTGAACCCAACAGAAGTCGAACGGTGTGTAATCGATACTCGGCGATCGGCAATCGTTGATCTTTTGCCAGGCAGAAATTTAGCAAGTCTGTCGGCATTTGCAGCCTGTGATCACTGCGATCAGTGCGATCAGTGGGCTGTGATCTATGATTGCCCCCCGGCCAAATCCCCTGCATCCCTCCTCCTCCACTTATACAAACCTATAATATATCCACCCATTTCTGACAAACTCATCTCGCATTCCGCTCACAGCTCACTCGCACTAATTAAAATAAATTCTGCCAGACATTCTCGTTTAATTTTTTCGCGCACCTTGTTTTTTTTTTGTTTTGTTGTTGTTGCGGTGTTTTGGTTTTGGCCAAAGTTAAAGCGAGAAAACAAGCAATAAATACGTCAGCCAATACGTCAACGGCAGTCTGACAGACTGACTGCGCTTGCAACTTAAAATGCACATTATTAATTAGTTGTTATAATTGCATTTAAAAATCCATTAATATTTATAGAATTCATAATAAATAATGAGGGGCCCGGTCTGCGGTCTGCCGAACTGGAGCTCCCGAGACGGCGACATCGACGCCTCCAAATGCCAAAACGGTCTGTCGGCCAGGACGGAACGGACTTGGGCCAAGTTTGGCAATTTATGCGGCCAGATTCGTGATGTGTGTGGCATATTTGAAGCCCAGTCAGCCACAAGTTGCCTTTGACAAATTCCCCAGGAATGTGTCTGCAAGATTTTAGGGGACAACAGAGGGTATATCAGCAGGGTAATGAGGTTTGCAATATACCAAGATCCAAAATCTTAATTATTAAAATGTTGTACTTATCCTCCAACTTTTAATTA